TTTCTTGCCACGTGCGCGGCCGCGCAGCCGCGCCCCTTAGAGGGAACAGTGATTACCAAGCACCTGAATTTCAATCATGTTACTGCTGGGGCTACTGCAGTGGTGGCAAATGTGACGTCTGGTTGTAAGTCATTTATTTCAGCACTGTCATAACTTTGAACAATTGTTAAACCAATAGTTTAATTTGAGATGGGTGTATGATTTACATCTCTAAATTCTTGTTTGTTGTTTCCTGTGTTACTATGTTAATTTCTATACAATAAAGTTTCCGAGAGAAGTTTTGAAGTGACACAGATATTTGTGGCGCTATAAAAACAGGGCATTAAAAAAACAGAACTTAGCAAAGTGTGATGTAAAACAGTTATGAAAGACTGCTGGTTGCAAAGGGAAGATCCTTGACCTGGTTTGTGTTACTGACAGTGCTGATGATCAGTAAATGAACAACTTTGTTCATATCTGCACATGTTCCCATAGGATAGCTGCTATTTCAGAGTTTTGAAATCCCTGATCCCAGATCAGACCCTGAACAACCTGTCAGCAAATTCCATGTTCTAATCTAAGTTGTCTTCCAGTAAGGTTGTGCCTCTGGTGCCACAAAATAAGTGGCTCCTGTGGAAGCAGGAAAACTTTCAAAAATGTTGGTAAAAGGCTAAGCATCATCATTTATAACTCTCGGATCATGAAAGGATTTGTTTCCCTACAAAGCAAAGCTGCTACCCTCAAAAAAGAAAAAAAAAGATCTGGAACACAACTTCAAATTAACTGATGCTTCTTAAACAATGTGCTTAAACTGGTGGGATCTGCTTAGAAACTGTCTTGTCCTCTAGCCCAATAATGCCAATTATTAATGTGTCCTTCCAAATGTGCATTTTTCCACCAACAACAAAATCTCCCTATTATAATAAGTGACGGAAGTAGGGTAATTTTTAGTAGGAAATTATTCCCATTAATATAATATTCTGGATATAATTATTAATTATATCAATTATTAAAAAAACAAATTAGGCCCTTTTAAACATATATTGTACTTTGATACTTAACAATCTTTCACCGACCTCTCAAAAGTTGGATTAAGTGAGATAACTGTAGTGAAGAATCTGGTCTAAAGATTCTAAGCATGCATGTTGTCACCCTCTCTTCAAACACAAAAATAAGCTATTCAATGAGCCAGTAAATTAAAAATGTTCAAGAAAAATAAACATAAGACTCCATATGTAAAAACATTTTAAGAGAAACCAAATAAAAACGTTATGACTATTTTATTTTTGCACCCAGTTGGATAGGGTATAATCCCAAACACATTTAGTTGATACAATATATTCTAACCAGAAGTCAGATTGAACATATATTTACATATTGGCACATATTTCAAATGATATGTCAAGTTCTCTAACAACACAATTATAGAGTAGGGGCTAAATGACCATACCCGAAGAGTCCACTTTCACACGGTGATGTTCAACATTTCTATCAATGATTTTGATGAGGGATTGAGGGGATGCTTAGCATAGTTTTCACATGGCACAAATCTCTATGTAGAGAAATATAGAGGACAGAGAAAATAACCTTGTGGGATAGGAAGAAAAGCTACTACCAAGATAATGGTTAGATGAAGAAATCAGAGTCTGGGACAGTACTGTAACCTGAGACAGTATCTGAGACAAAGCCTTTATAATTCTTACAAAGATAAAGGGAGGAAGGGGCAGGAATGTTCAAACTTGCAAGATTCTAATAGAGAGTATTTGGAGTGGAATGGAATGGAATAGAACAGAACAGAACAGAATCTTTATTGTCCCTTCAAATGCACAATAATCAGCATACATTTGTAGCCCAGGATTGAAATGAGGGATCCGTGGTTCTTAGTTCTCCCTGAGCTTGGTTGTTTTCTTGCAGACATTTCATGACCCAACTAGGTAACATCTGAGCTAGCATAATGTTACCTAGTTTGGGTTACCTCGTTTGGATAATGAAGCGTCTGCAAGAAAGCAACCAAGTTCAGGGAGAACCAAGAACCTAATAGCAAGATTCTGTCATTATACTTTACAGTATTAGTTGTAATGGCCAACATGACATTGGTTTCCTACTTTGGGCTTGAAGGTCTAACATGGAAAGACAGAAGATTTAAAAAGACTGTCTTGAGCAATGGGCTGAAATGAATAGGGAGATAAACAGAATTCTGCATCTCGGAAGGAAATCTGAAAGGTAAAAAGCAGGAAGACTTGATTTGGCTGTATCATGTGTGAAAAGCATCTGAGAGACCTCACTGACCACAAGTTACATATGAGTGAATAATGTGATGCAGCTGCTTTAAAGGCAAATGTCACCTGGGGTGCATTAACAGGCACATAAAATCCTGGCCACAGAAATTAATTGTTCCACTTTATTTTTGCTTTAGTAAGATCCCATTTAGATTATTTTTTTTGAGACAAATTAAAAAATAGAGAGACAAATTGGACCAAGTTCAGAAGACAATAAAAAGTCTGGAGGCTATCCACTATGAAGAATGGTAAAAGGAACTTGATATGTTTAACCTACAATAGAAACAACCCTCTAAAAAGAAAAAAGAACAATATCCCAGCAAATCTCTGTAGAGATCCTCAGTCATCCAGGTCTTTGTGTCCCAAAGATGCTTTTTCCGGGAGGCAACTGGGCTTTCTTGTTTTTTTCTTTGAAGATGTTTTGCTTCCCATCCTAGACCTAGAAGAAAACAATTGTAGACTACAGGAACCAGGAGCACTATTCAGATGACCTTGATG